GGAGATGCACCGGTTGAAACTGAAAAGCTGCAAAAACGGCACAATAGGAAAAGGTGGCCTTTAAGCCTTTCAAATTGCCTTTTGAAACTAAATAATGCGCCCTTAGTTCTTCGGCACTGTTCTTTCGACACGGCCTGTGCTAAAAGTTTAATGCCCTATACGATATTCAGAACAAGTTCGAGAAACACGCACACAGCTACATTATCTAATTGCAAAGGCAAAACTGAAAAGCTTGAAAGGGGAGACCACTGCGGGGGTAAAAAAGCCACTTACCCATCCTTCCTCGTCCAGCCACTCTGGTTAGGGTGATTCCTTGCTAATTTGTGCGGCTGCAGCAGCTTAGCATGTAGAATGAGGTGCTTTACTTTGCAGATGGAAGAGTCAGCAGGATTTGCCTTCAGCAAACCTGAAAGAACAGGCTGTTTTTAATAGCGTACTGCAGTGCCCCACTGTCACTCACCTGGATGCTCTATTCAGACTGACAGGTGATGCATCTTCTTGCAAAAACACATCACTACTAATTAAAAGATAACACGTAAGGGTGTCATGACAGGGCACTGAGATCACATTCGTTCAGTCTTGATATGTCAAAGAGGTTGCCCCGAAACTGCCTCCCGTGGCACATCAGTATCATTTGGACAATCCGAAAACTTAGGCAGCATGCATGGTACAACCCAAACCAGCATCCCCTTTCATCGCAGCCGCTGATGCTCATGTGCAAAGTCCTCTCGTAACCTGCGGTACCCGCATCAACAGGTCCTCCCAATATGCTACCACTGTGACATGGGAGACCAGTTTTGCAGAAGTATGACACGAGACTGTAGTCTGTTATTTTGGGTTTCACCATCTCATGTTCACTTGCTGAACACTGAAGGTTTTCTAATGGGAGGGGGGGGGAGATACTCAGATCCCAATTTTTTTTTTAGAGCATGGAAGTAAAATACAGAAATGCTTGTCATGCTGAAGTGACATCACCTACTTCTGCAGATATAGGAAATTGATAAAGTATATCTGAGAGAGTGGCCTAATACTTCTTGGAAGTCCTGCTGAGGAACTCACAATCCAGTAATTTGCTCTTCATGTACCCCTTAACCACTTAACTGAGCCCGCTTTGCGGGGAGGGCGGGGTATAAATTTGATAATAAAATAAATAAACTCAGCCTGCAGGGAGATGCATGAATTATGGAGCTGATGAGAAGAAAGTTAAATGCAAGCCTTTCCCACTTGCTTTAGACCTCTGCTCTCCCTTACGCCCCTCCGTAAACGCTTTCTTTTCCCCCCCTTCTCTTCCCCCCCGCCTTCCCCTTTTTAATTCTGCCTCCTCCTCCAACATCCACATGATATCCCCCCCATTCTCCTCAGAACCACTCATCACCCCATACCCTTCCCACCCCACTCTCCTTTTCCTGATGCTCTCTTCATTCCACAGTTCTTGCTCTCCTCGTTCCACACTGCTCTTGTTCTACCTCCAATCACGCCATTACCCTGTCCTCCACAGCATTCCCTGTTCCCATTCTACCAGAGCTTCTGTTTTATCTTCCGGCCTTCTCATCTCTCCACACACTCCCCATACTTCATATTTCACATCTCTTTCTATCACTCCCCTCTCTTTCCCACCTCAAAACGCCTCTCCTTTCCTCTACCCCCGTCCCACCACCTTGTAACTCCCAGCCTCCTGTCCTCCCACCACCACTCAGTGGGTGCCTGTAGCACCCCCATTCCCCCCTCTTGCTTGCCCGCTGACACTCCTGCCCCTTCCTTAACACTCCTGCTTCCACCTACTTTCTTCCTGCCCCCCAACCCTCCTGCCACTGCTTTGTCCCTCTCCCCTTGACCACTCACTACTTTAAAACAAAAAAAGCCTGGTTGCATGGGGTTGCTAGGCAATCCCATAATGCCAACTGTGACCTCATGAGATACCAGGCTTCCCAAGTACTTACCGTGATTCGGCGGGGGACACAGACGTCTCCGCAGGATCATTCCTGCGGGGACAACAGACGCGGCGCACCATCCCATCGCCAGGAAGTGATGCTCTGCCAATGGGGCTCGAAACTCGATGGTACCATCGAGTTTTCAGCCCCATTGCCAGAGCATCGCCCAGCGTTACTTCCTGGCAACGGCATGCTGTGTTACAGGGAGGAATGGTCCGGCCGGGGAGCATGTTTCCCCCGCCGGATTGCGGTAAGTACTTGGGAACCCTATGAGATACTGGGTTTTTTTTTCAAGCTCGCCATTCTGGAATTTTCCCACAATTCAGGGTTTATTCGGGTTTGCAGAAAATGAGTTTTTTTACTTACTCTTGGAGACCAAAATTAGAATTAACTGTATGATATTAATATTTTACCTACAAGTGCTTCAGAGAGTAAGAAAACATGTAGACAAGAACCAAGAGAAAAGCTAGCTTTCAGTTAAGAGGTTTTGTTTGTAGAATGGACACATCATTGAAACAAAAGGCATCAGATGCCATCTTCGAAGAGGTATTCACCTCCTCTTTGGTACTAAGGCCCGTAGCTACGATGGGGCTTTTGGGGGGCTACACCCCCTTTCTTAAAGGCACAGCCTCACAAGAATTTACCCTGTAAATGCTTTTTTCAATCATTTTTAAACATTTTCTTAAAAGCATGCACTTCTTTAAGCAGAGTGGGGTGTTGTAGTTGACTAATTCCTGCACTGAGCAAGGGGGATGGAGTAGGTGACCTCTAGGATCATTTCTAAATCTGTGTCAAGAAATTGTTCTCTTTTAAGAGAGTTTTTCTGCCTAAGTGTTAGCTTTCTTGATTATAGAAGTCATCACCTCCACCTGGCCAGCTTGTTATCAGAATTGTTCCTTAGGCTGGTAGAAGTCATTAACTTGCAACAGCTGAGAACTGTCATCTCAATGGTTGATGGCTCGCAATTTAGAGATCTATCCTGGTAAAGTTTTATGTGTTTTTATACAAATTGGGAGTGAGTTTACTGGCCAAACCCCGATAAGTACTTCCAGTGCCACAATTACCATCTACCAGAAAATTTATTCTCCCTCCCCCCACTTTCTCAGCCTGCTATTGTCAAACTCTGGGGCTAAGATTTGCAGAAGACTCTATGCTTTGATGTTCAAAGGCTTGATTCCGCAGTAGCCGAGTCATAATCCTCAGAATTCTGGTTTTTCTTTCTGCACTGAGAACATCAGCCCCACCAGGAAAAAAATTTGCCCCACAAGCCACAAAATCCTGGCTACGGGCCTGCTGGTACTGGACATTTTTCTGTCAGATAATGTAAAATAATATGTTGTAGCAGGCACTATCTCAAAACAAGGACTTCTTTCTTCAGATAAAAGAAAAAGAAATGGGGCTATAAGAATAGAAGGCAGAAGAATAGTCAACATTTGGTAAAACTGGAAAGCATGGTCCTGAGAATAAAATCTAAGTATTGGTTAGTATAACCATACGATATTCCTATAAAAAAGTACAGAGGAGGGGAACTACGATGATTAGGGGGTTGGAGCACCTTCCCTGTGAAGAAAGGCTGAGGAGTCTGGGACTTTTCAGTTTAGAAAGGAGACGACTAAGGGGAGACATTATGGAGGTTTATAAAATTATGCATGGAGTGGAGAGAGTTGACAAAGAGAAATTTTCCTCCCTCTCCCAAAATACTAGAACACGAGGGCACCCAATGAAACTAACAAGCAGTAGGTTCAGGATGGACAAAAGAAAATACTACTTTACATAAGAACATAAGAGAAGCCAATGTTGGATCAGGCCAAAGGCCCGTCCAGTCCAACACTCAGTCACACAGTGGCCAAAAATACCAGGTGCCATCAGGAGGTCCAGCAGTGGGGCCAGGACATTAGAAGCCCTCCCACTGTTGCCCTCCCCCCCAAAAAAGCACCAAGAAGACAGAGCATCACTTGCCCCAGTGGCTAATAGCCACTGATGGACCTCTGCTCCATATGCCTATCTAATTCCCTTTTGAAGCCGTCCATGCTTGTAGCCTCCACCTTCTCTTGTGGTAGTGAATTCCATGTGTTAATCACTCTTTGGGTGAAGAAGTACTTCCTTTTATCCGTTCTAACCCGACCGCTCAGCAATTTCATGGAGTGCCCACGAGTTCTTGTATTGTGAGAAAGGGAGAAAAGTACTTCTTTATCAACCTGCTCTATCTCATGCATAATCTTATAAACCTCAATCATGTCACCCCTCAACTCTTTATACAGAGAGTGATTAAAATGAGGAATTCACTGCCAAGAGGACATAGTGATGGCCACAGCAATAAACAGCTTTAAAAGGGGATAAAGACAGATTCATGGAGGATACATCTATCAATGGCTACTAGCCAAGGTGACTGAGGGGAACCTCCACATTCGGAGGGACTAAGCCTCTGAATCCCAGAGTCAGGAGGCAGTATCAGGGGAAGGCCTTGGCCTCTATGCCCTGTTGCGGGCCATCCAGAGGGACTGGCTGTCCACTGTGTGAGACAGGACGCTGGGCAAGATGGACTACTGGTCTGATCCAGCGGGGCTCTTCTTATGTTGTTATAATTGTTCAAAATGTTTCGTGTTAAGGAAATGAGCTGTGATTCACAAAAGCTCATACTGAACGCTGTTAGATTTTTAAGGAAGGGCCGTGACTCAGTGGCAAAGCACCAGCCTGGCACACAGAAGGTCCCAGGTTCGATCCCCGGCATCTCCACTTAAAAGGGTTCAGGTAGGAGGTGATGTGAAGGACCTCTGCCTGAGACCCGTGGAGAGCTGCTGCCAGTCTGAGGAGACAATACCGACTTTGATGGACTGAGGGTCTGATCCAGTATAACGCAGCTTCATGCAATCATATGTGAAGACGCCAGCAGTTTTCTTTTAGCAGACAAGTACAGAGACATCCTAAGCAGAGCTTAACTGTCATATAACTCAGCTAAAGACTACGCTGGCAAAAAATGAGGATGCCGCAAGCCGAACATAAAGGTTTCCCCACACAAGAACCAATTCAGAGAGATAAAAATGTAAAGAGGCCTAGAAAGTTACATACTTTTCAAACAAATGCCTGCTAACTTCTGCATCCACCGCGCTCAGCGGATCATCCAGGAGGTAGATGTCTGCATCCTGGTACACTGCTCTGAAAGCACACACAAGAAAAGTATCAGCTGAATCACTGCCCCAAACAAGTGCGTAGTCCTGAGGATTCCCCAGCACTTTTTTGCCTAAAGCCTTCTACTGCACAGAGGGTGAACACTCTTCATTCAAATCCACAAACAAGCACAAAGCAGGCAGAGACCCTTTGAACCCGGAACTCCAAAGAGGTTTGGGCTGCTATCCAGTTTCTGAAGCCCTGGCCATTTAAAAAAAAAAAGTTAGCAAATGACAACCCGTGACGTTCATCAAAGGTAAAAGGTAAAGGGTAAAGGTACCCTTGCTCGAAAGCCAGTCGAATCCGACTCTAGGGTTGCGGTGCTCATCTCTGTTTCAAAGCCGAAGAGCCAGCGCTGTCCGAAGACGTTTCCGTGGTCATGTGGCCGGCATGACTAAACACCAAGGCGCACGGAATGCTGTTAGCTTCCCACTGAAGTGGTACCTATTTATCTACTTGCAATTTCTTGCTTTCAAACTGCTAGGTTGGCAGGAGCTGGAACTAGAGACGGGAGCTCACTCCATCATGTGGCACACTCACGTCTCGAACTGGTGAACTACCGACCTTCCACAGTCTGCAGTTCAGCGTCTTAACCACTTGAGCCACCGCAGCAATAAAACAAGTGGTCAAATTTATCAAATGCCGGGGGGGGGGGGGATGTATGCCTAATCATGGGGGGGGGGCCTCTGAGCTCATGGCTCAGGCCAAATGGATGACTCCCCCCACCCCCGCTGGCCCTGCTCTGAACAAAAGGTTGGCTCCCCTCGCCAAGAATCCACACAGTCCCCTTCAGCTGACTGTACTGCACAATAGTTGAATGCAGAGGCAACTCTGGCTGTCTGCAAACCAGGCCCTGCCAAACGCAAGCGTGCCTCGGCAACCCCGGGCCTTTTCTCTCTCCCATTTCAAACCAGGGTTTCAAATGCTGATCTGTGAAAACTACTGTTGCAGCTGGTGTGCGTACAACTCTAAGCTAGGGCTAATTCAGACAAAACAAGAGTGGGGTTTGTTCTGGAGAGGGGAGGACAAGTCTGGCTCCCAATATACAAGCTGTGAATAGCACAGAGCCCATGTAACCTGTAAGCTCATACGATCTGCCCAGATAGAGACAGACAGATAGACAGAAAAACACAGAGAAGGCCTGCTTTGTACACAAGAATACTTTCCCCACTCTTCTCCTGTTTGCTTCTCTTGCAGGGTTTTGTGGAAATAAGTCACTTTTGGTCCACATTGGGGAGAAAACTGGGATACAGACAAATGTTCATCAATCTAATGAGGCATTTTCACTTACTTGCCAAATCAAAGACCGACCCTCCTTGTAACGCAGTTTACAATACTGAAAGTCAGGGTGCAAGCAGACGTCATCGTCCCAAAAAGTGCTAGTGGTTTGCTATAAATAGCAGCTGTCGCTGCTGTGGTCCTGCTGCCACAGATTGTCAGTTCCTTGCCAAGCTATCCATTCAGTTACGTACACTGAAAGTTCGTTTGCACGCTTAAGAACGTCTTGAAAAAGACTTACCTGGCAAGATTAACTCTGGCTTTTTGTCCCCCACTCAGTGTGGCTCCCCGATCTCCTATCACTGTCAGGTCGCCATCTGGCATCATTTCCAGATCCTATTTAAAGAAGTGATTTTCCTGTGTGAGAATCATTTAACTTAACTGCATAGTTGGTTGGTAATTCCAAGAGAAATGGCAGCACTGAGGGGTCAACCCAGGTCTTAACGTTTCAAATTCCAAAATGGCTGCTACTTCACGGATTGAGGAATGAGGGAAAATAGACAAAGGAAGGGCCCAATAACCTATAAGGAAAGAAACACTGTACAAGAAATGTAACTGTCGGGGAGGGGGGGGGACACCTTTAGTACAGCCCAGTTTATGAGTGAGATTATATTCTTAGGACCAACCTTTTTGAGTCTGTGGGCACCTCAGTTCTGACATATGGTGGCAGTGGTGGACGCTACCACAAAATGGCTGACACAGGAGGTGGACCCACCACAAAATGGCTGATGCAGGAGATGAAGCAAAGCACAAAATGGTTGTCACAACAGGCAGAGCCAACTATACCCTAGCTCCCTCCCCAAATGTACAATCAGAAGGATCAAACACTATACATTCAAGGATCATAATTCAAGGAACTAGAACAGCCATGAATACACTATTGTAGAATGAATCTGACACTTTCCTTCAAAAAGATTATATACATATAAATACATTATATGTATGTACACACACTGTATATGTTCATTCACATACGTTCATGAAAGAGTTCCACAAGGCAGCAGATGAAGCTTGAAACTGCTCTCTAGTGCGATGTTCGAGTGCTTTCTGGGATCTTATTTCATCACCAAATGTGTTCTACATAAACTCACAGAACTTGGATCTGGTTTTATTTTTTTAAATGACCGATGTTTTAATTCTGTCATAAAAGACTAAAAGGAATGCACCAGGTGAGTTTTCGGTTTCCAAAAAGGTTGTATTCGTAAAAGCTTTAATCTGTCTGCTTTTCACCTATCTTACTACCGACAGCAGCATGGGAACAGGCCCTGAGCAGAGTATGCTGCATGATACTTTTTCAACTGCCAAGCAAAATACCTGTGCCTTTGCTAATCTCTCTCTTGATGTCCTCCCAGATCACACCTATCTCTGAAATCTGCTCTTCGCAGAGCTGGAACGCCCTAAAGCCTTCAATTCACCAGGACACCAGCTTAAGGAGCCAACTGCATTATTTAGCATCGCTGTGGCTGCATCCACAGGGCAGTTCTGCTCTGCCTTGGCTTCCAAATCGGGAACAGCGTTTTTCACAGCACCCCCACGACATCCTCCTCCAATCGTCCACTTTCCAGGTTTTCCCCGGGCTTTCCCCCGACCTCTCCTAAACTAGCTTTGCTACAACATGTCTGCTAACCAAGCAGGTTAGCACAGCGCCTGGACCATGAGATGTGCATTTTTGAATCTCCTGCCCACATCAGCACCACATCACCCCTTTCATTACCCTCTGGACACCGTTTCCCCACCATGCCAGCAAAGTGTTTTTGAATAGAGTAAGTAAAAACTAACAATGTTTTTAAAAAGCCTTTCAGTGGCACAGCAAGGGAACAGGGTGGGGGTGGCAGCTATGAGATAACCACGGAAAGGATGTAGGAAGCCCGTGTTTGGGGGGTGGAGCCTGGGGAGGGCGGGATTTGGAGAGGGGAGGGATTTCAGGAGGATATGATGCCGTAACGTCCACCCTCCAAAGTAGCCGTTTTCTCCAGGGGAGAAAAAGTTGCTACTGCAAATGTCACTGTGTTTGCACTGGCAATCAATTCAAAACAGAGAATCATCTCCATGTGGATACAGCCTTTTCTCCGACTAACAGAGTAGCATGAAAGATGGTCTCACGTTCATTATTTTCTTGGAGGGTTTCTTTCATTCTTGTTACAACAGCAGTAGAATAATCTTTGAAAGATGGGCCAGGTCACGTCTCATCATAAACTGAAATTTCATTCGTATTCATTGATATCATAGATAACATGAAGAATGTAGTTGCCTGATCACTTCCTCATGTGGAGGAATTTGTGTATAAATGCCCACTAAGTTGCTACCAAGATGAAACTTTTATATGTACTTTATACATTCGCGTTTGTACTGTATATCTGCTTATATTGTTTTGTGTGTGATAAGAAGCAAGTTACTCTGACTGACCTCACTTTTCAAATGACTTCCAAGTTGTAGTTTAATTTTACTTATTTATAACCTGTGATGCAGATAACTCCTTTAAAACACACACACAGAGACAAACACATGCAGGATTTATCCCTTAACGACAACTAGCTAATCTACAACTAAAAAGCTAATTTACAGCCCACAAGAGGATGTTACTATTTTTCCCCAGCTTCATTAAACAACCTGCTCGTTTCATTTCCAGTACCATCAGTTTGTTTCAAGAGCTCTATTCATTAGAATGCACGTCCCAGATAAAGAAGAGGAGATTGGATTCATACCCCACCCTTCACTACCCAAGGGAGTCTCAGAGCGGCTTACAAACTCCTTTCCTATCCCCTCCCCACAACAGACACCCTGTGAGGTAGGTGGGGCTGAGAGAGCTCTGACGGAAACGGCTCTTTTTCAAGAACAGCTGTGCCAGAACTATGGTTTGCCCAAGGTCATCCAGCCAGGTGCAAGTGGAGGAGTGGGGAATCAAACCCGGTTCTCCCAGATTAGAGTCTGCGCACTTAACCATGACACCAAATTGGCTCTCAGTAGCTTAAGGTTGCCAGTCCCGGGTTAGGAAATTCCTGGAGATTTGGGGGGTTGGAGCCTGGGGAGGGCGGGATTTGGAAAGGGGAGGGACCTCAGAGGAGGTCAATGCCACACAGTCCACCTTCCAAAGCAGCCATTTTCTCCAGGGGAACTGATCTCTGTAGCCTGAAGATGAGGTGTGTTACTGGGAGATCTCCAGCCACCACCTGGATGTTGGTGACCCTACAGTATCTGTATAATGTTCCACTATAGAGAGAGAAAGAAGGGTACATTCAAACCCAGGGCTTTTGTTGAGGTCATACACGAGAACCACACCACCTCATTAGGCATAGTGGATTTGGCCCTCACTAGGAACTAAATTGGAGCTGCGGTGGCTCAAGAGGTTAAGACGCTGAACTGCAGGCTGTGTAAGGTCAGCAGTTCGAGACCCAAGTGTGCCGCAAGACGGAGTAAGCTCCTGTCTCTAGTTCCAGCTCCTGCCAACCTAGCAGTTCGAAAGCAAGAAATTGCAAGTAGATAAATAGGTACCACTTCGGTAGGAAGGTAACAGCGTTCCGTGCGCTTTGGTGTTTAGTCATGCCGGCCACATGACCACGGAAACGTCTTCGGACAGCGCTGGCTCTTCGGCTTTGAAACGGAGATGAGCACCGCAACCCTAGAGTCGGATTCGACTGGCTTTCGAGCAAGGGAACCTTTACCTCGGAACTAAATTCCACTGAAATCAACTGTTGGCAGCGAGTAGGTAGTCCTTTTCTGGGAGACTACACGGAGGACGTTCCTCCTGCCTGGAGACGGGCCCTAAACATGAACAAGCTCACATGCTACCCTTTGTGAAACACGGTGCAAGAAACTGCCATTGGTTCACATCTCGTTTCCCAGCCCAAACGCAAGCACCAAAATAAAAACACATCTACCGCACCCAGTACACATTTGTGTTCTATGTGGAACCACTCTATGTACAAGAAAAAAACCCTCTGTTAAATGCCCCATAATCATAATCCCTGCTTATTATAGGGGTTAGAATGTTGGAACAGAAATGGGGGGACCCAGGTTCCGAACCCTGGGTGACCTTCATGCCAATCATTCTCTTTCAACCTAACCCACCTCACAGCACTGCTGAGAGGATAAAATGGACGGGGAAGGAGAAACAGGCACACTGCCCTGGGCTCCCCTGGAGGAAAAATGGAGCAAAAATACACAAAACAAATTAAGTATTCTCAAGATTTGGGTGTTTGGTTGCAATATTAAATTTGAAAAGTAAATTCCACTACCATTAAAAGCATTTGCATCCAAGTAAGCATGCAGAAGGTGGTTTTCCTACAATTTACAAGATATGTTAAAATAAAACGGTTCCTCAAATACACTATTTTCAGTTTTACACACTGAAACAGGCAAGTTTAACACACCAGACTATTTTCATGGCAAGGTGTGTAGCGTGTATTATTTCAAAAGCAACAACTTACTTTTTTAAGAGCACAGGCTCTTAGAACCTTTTCGTATTTTTCTTTTTCATAGCCTTTCCCAAACAGGATGTTGTTTCGGACCGTACCAGAGAACACCCAAGGCTGCTGAGAAACATAGGCAATTTTTCCTTGAGCAGCTACGCAACCTTTGCTTGCAGTCAGCTCACCGAGGATAGCGCTTAAGACCGAAGACTGCAGGAGCGTTGGGGGAGAACAAAAACCAGATTTTCCAAGTTGAAATAGGCACACACACTCAAATCCTCTAATTCTTAATATTGCATATAACAAATATAATGCCCCAATCTCTTAACTATGGTCAAGAAATCGGGAGTGGGTCACAGGAATGTGTGCTCCTCTTTCCACTCGCCCCCCCAGCTCCCAGCACACTCCTGACCTTTCTACCAGCTCTTTCCCACAGTTAAGATTGGTTTGTGTCTGCTTTTAGCCATAGTTAATGCAAACCAGGGCTTTTCTTCTGGGGGAATGCGCTGGACCAGAGTTCCTGAACCTCTTTGGCAAGTTTCTTTTTAAAATGTTTGAAAGTTCATGAGCTTTCAGTACACAGATTGGAAACTTAATTTCCTTCTTGAGCGTTCCGGCACCCCACCCCCAAAAGCCCTGAAACTAACCATGTGTGCCCTCTTAACCAAGGTATGCTAGCCAACTGGCTGCAAATGCTTACACTACTGCAGTTGTTCTAGATTTCTTAAACTGTTTCTCTTTTTAAAAATCAACAACGTTACCAGTGTTTAAAAAATAATATTTACACGGCCAACGTTAAAAAAACAGACCACCTAATACAAAGTTCCACTACACAGTGACAGTTGCGCATAAGAACTGGTGTTAGTCATTGTGCCCCCGCAGCCCACATTGCTCTAACACAGAGACCAATCCATCTCCCCTGCAACAAACACTGTTAACACTGCTATGCTGACACTGTGCATAAACCAATTGTGCCAGCAGCACTGAACGCATGAATAAGGACCCATAGGTGGGCTGCAGAGCCCTTCTCAACTGGTCACAAGCCAGTTTCTCTTTGCTGTCAAGCCACAGCCAACTTATGACGACCCCGTAGGGTTTTCAAGGCAAAAGACGTCCAGAAGCTGGTTTGCCACGGCCTGCTAAAGGGCTACTATAGTGCAACCACATTTTTTCTCTTTTTTGCTGTATTTCGGAAATACCTGTTGCATAGGAGGCAAGGGTTCCATGTAGAGATGTCAAACCACCTGCCCAGCATCTCTCAGATCTTTAGAGGCAAGCCAGAGGGTGGAGGTAACGTGTCACATGTGATGTCAATCTGCCCAAAAATCCAGGTGTGATGTAAGCGTGTCGGGCGATGCTCTGGAGGGCTCCCAAAACTGGAGTTTTGGGGGATGGCCAGGGCATTGCCCAACACACTTACATCACATCCAGGTGGTGTGATGTCACACAACTTCATTTCCCGCTCCCGGATCTCTCTTTCAATAGTCCGGGGAGCAAGGGTGGGAGGGCAGGCCCACGAGCGGGAGCCTCCCGTAAGTGGGCAAAGGGTAACCCTAGTACCATGCCGTACCTCCTGCCTCTCTTTGCTTTCATGCAGAGAAGAACAGCAGGCATGGTCACTCTACAGCAGAGAAGACTCCTCCATGCTTCTGACCCTGGCCTTATGCTCCTGGTGTCTGGCTTATGTTGCCCATTCCAACTCTTTTCATCTGCTCCCCATGGCCCTGGCCTTGACACCAATGAGATCACAAACACATGAAGCTGCCTTATACCGAGTAAGACCATCAGCCTATGAAGGTCAGCACTGTCTACTCCAATAAACAACAGCTCTCTGGGGTTTCAGGCAGAGGTCTTTCACATCACCTACTATCTGATCCTTGTAACTGGAGATGCCAGGGATTGAACCTGGGACCTTCTGCACGCAAAGCAGGTGCTCTACCACTGAGCCATGGCCCAGGTTGTAACAACAGGCTTGGCCCTGTGCTTTCCCCATCATATGATTCTGATGTCACATGACTTTCTGTCACGCGCTTGAAGTTCAGTGGTTCCTAAGCCTGGAAAGGTTGTAGACTGCTGAGTTATGCCATAAACTGGAGTTTAGGAAAGGACAGAGAATTGCAGAGCCTTCAATGGATCCTTTTACCACATCCATCTGCTGGTTCTTTCCCCCTTACCCACGCATGGCTTTTGCACTAGAGGAGTTACAATGAGAAGGGGCAGGGTCTTTCTAAAAGGCATTCTGGAGATTTCTCACATCAGAAGCTGCTTTAATTGCAGGAGCACAAGGCCTTGATGTAACACAGCACAGATCAGGTGGCCATACAGTTCACCTTTAGACTATTTAAATATATTTCACCCACTTAATTGACAACCTACTTCTCTCAACTCCTTCAGCCTCCTCAGAAGTTTGTTTGTTTTGTCTAAAAGTTGCTTGGAAAAGGCTTATCTCATATAATCACTTACAACAGAGAACTCTGTATTACTAGGTCAGAGTGGCTCCCTCAGGCATATGTCAAAGACGTCTCAAAATCACTGGAGTACAGCCATTCAAGGATGTTTTGTATCAACTGGTTTACTGGTACATCACAGTTTAGGTACAACATGCATTATAATTATGTTCGTACACATTTTTAAGTGTACAAAATTCAGCAAAAAATGAAATTCTAAGAGGTTTCGCCTGCAGTCAGAGCGCCAGAAGAGGAGAAACGCTGCTTTCCATAACTTCCAAATACCTCAGGATTAGAAGAAAGCATTCTTCACATTTTGTGAACAGCTTAGTTCTAATTCTCAACACCGTAAAGAGCTGAAGTTATGACTTACTTTTCCTGCTCCCACCGGACCAACCACGACTAGTAATTCTCCCCGTCTGACAGAAAAGGAAATGTTTTGAAGGGTTGGTGCTTCCAGAATCTATCCATTTGTGAAGAAAAGCTGTGTGTTAATTCTTACCAAGTATCAGATTTGAAGGCTGCAAATCCTGACTGCCTGCACTGAAATTAAATCGGATTCACTTCCAAGTAAATAGTGTAAGGCTCGGAATGCACGTTTCAGAATTTATGAGGAAACATACATTCTCAGCATAATTTCTGACAAGTTTAATCTGTCCAGCATATTTTCACTCTACGTTTTGTCATAAGCTGTGGGTTTATCAACATCCGTGCCATTTTAGGATCAACTCAGCCACTTTATAATATATATATATGACTATAAAGAAGCCCTGCAAATAAAGTCATTGTATTCATTCATTCATTAGATATTCTATCACTGCTCACCCAAAGGGTCTCACGGTGACTCATAACATAAATAAGTTAAAAAAATAACATTAAAACGTTTATTACTGTATCGTTATTTATATGCCAATAAAAAGCTTTCGATTTGATTAAAACCGTTTAGGAAAAAATTCGGAAAAATAATTCTAAAAACTAAAGGTGTGTGATTTTTTTTTGAAGCCGAGGAAAATACTAAAACACACACACAGTGTGACTCTTTGTCCATTTTAGGAATCCAACTGGGAGGAGAACTGAGGAGAAAAAACAGGTAACAGGTTGGATCCTACAACTTGGTGAAAGGGGGGTGGATTTTAACCGATTCCTCCCTCCCTCAACAGATCTGCCACTGTTCCCTCATTTTGTTTGTGGGGGGCCCTGTCCCCCAGGAGTAGCATTTCAGCAGGCATTCCAGTCTAGGGGGGGGGTCAGAAAGTCACACAGCACTGACAGAAATCTTATCAGTGGATTTTTTTCCCAACAGGATCCAAGCCAACTATCCTCAACCAAACTGGAAAACAATTCCTCCCTAGATCACCCATCTGGAGACAATTCCTACTCTGTACTCACCACAGCTAAGTGGCTCTATTCCGGAAAACTAACTACAGAAAACAACCCCTGGAAACTCTCGTCTTCTTAAATCCTATTCTGGAGCCGCGCCACATGGTGGCAGCAACATCACATTTCATTAACACTCCCCAGTTCATGTGGCACAGAACAGGGAAGGCCTGATAATCCGGACGCCACATTCAGCACCTCAGGACTGATCAGGACCTAAAGGTATTTTTAAAAACAAAATTGCTGGTCGCTATCCAACACAACGTTAAGTGCCCTCAAGCCCACTGAACACGGCAGGCTTATCAGCATTTATGTCTGGAGATGAATTGCATCTACTATTTTTAGAAACAGCACTTAGCAGCAAAATCATTCCACTGTGTACTTCCTTGGGTATCTTGGGGTGTGTGTACAATTTTCTAATTTCTGCACACTTTAACTGAACCAAAAAAGTGAGGTCAGATTGACCTGGAGAAGTGAGGAAAAATGATCTGCAACTCCATGCTCTGCATACTCCTCAACTATAAGCCACTTCGAAACTCCTGAAGGTAAAGAAAAGCGGGGTATAAAAGCCTACTCTTCTTTAAGGAGTTCAACAGCCCTGCAGTGTTGCATTCCCCTGCCTCCACTGCACCTTTCTTTACGTTGCAATGTATACTCTGAAAGGGGGTGTGTGTCATTTTTAATCCCAATTGCAATAAAAAGAACACCAACATTAATAGAGACAGTGAAATGAATAACATTACATTTCCTGCATTTTCTTATATATATTTTTTATCCCCAGTGTCTTTGCTGCTGTTCTATTCCATTTACTGGCAAAAGGAAATACTCAAAAACAGAGTGACTGGCCAGCCACTAGCTGCCAAGGAAACAAGGGCTTTATTTCCATGAGTTCCTTTGGGTGTATACGCAGCCCCCACACTGGATTAGCAAAGTACACTTTTTTGATCATGCAAGGGCTGCATCATTGAACTCACTCTTGCACTTGGTCAAAAAAATAAATGTAGCAAATCACTCATTTTGGCAGTGTATAAGCTATTACAGAAATCATCACACTGGCTGGTATTAGTACTACTTCTGGTGTGTCCAGAGCCAAACAATTACAGCAGCTTTTTCCCATTACCTGCTTTATGAGATATTACTGCATCTGTCACACTACCTTCTACTTTCTACAGCACTTATGGATCCAGGAAATAGTCTCCAACTACCTAATGCTGCTGTACTGCTGCATGAATCTAGGGTCACCCACCAATTGTCTCCAAAAATAATTTTAGATAAACCACTGCTAGCCTCTGCACCTGTACATCACTTCCAGGTACAACCTGGAACTAACAATTGGTATGTCTAAGAATTGTTGGAAACTCTATGGTTTTATCACAGAGTTTCCACCGGTTCCTAGAGCTACCCCTTGTCACTTCTGGGTTGTACCAGATGCAGTAACATTGGTGATGTCACCAACATCCCTATCCCCCAACCGGTTGCCAGGCTTTGCCCTACTGGCTGCCCTACACAGACCTGGTTAGCCTGCAAGATAGTAGACCAGTAGGACCCCAAGAAGGAAAGCGTGATAAATGTACTAAACCTTTTTTTAAAAAATTCTTAGCATTCATAAGGCATCTTTCAAACATTCAAATGTACTCTGCATACATTACCTCAGAAATTCTCAACAAAGAAGCTCATACACTACACTAACAGTATCTATACATCTAACAGCCAAGGTGCCCCCTGAGTGCGGATATCTAAATCCGCACATCGGGGGCACCTGGGAGGCAGGGAGATTTTCCTGCAAATTTGGGGCAATCCCCAAATGTGCAGAAAAATCTAAAAACTGTAAAAAAAACCTATAGTGGGAATACTTAAAAAAAACCCCAAAAAATAAAGGAGCATTCTGTGCGCATGCGCAGGGAACACTCTGAGAAGGCTTCGCTGCCACTGCTGCCGCCACAGGAGACGAGGGGTGGAGGGCGGGAGAAGGCTTGGCAGGCCAGCCTCGCTGCTGCCGCTGCTGTGGAGGGAAGCTTGGCAGGCCAGCCTCACCACCGCATGCGCAGGGAACACTCTGAGAAGGCTTCGCTGCCACCGCTGCCGCCACAGGAGACGAGGGGTGGAGGGCGGGAGAAGGCTTGGCAGGCCAGCCTCGCTGCTGCCGCTGCTGTGGAGGGAAGCTTGGCAGGCCAGCCTCACCTCTAAGTCCACTAGTCCTATCGTATTTTATTCATGCTGGTCTTTGACCATACAATAAAATTTGATTTGATTTGCTCTGATCTGGATGTCAGTTATAACATAGGTAATACCAGAAAAAATGCCTACTACACCACCTGGGCTATTTACGGATCTTACGACCCAGTTTCCATGATGGATGTGGACAAGATCCTGGGATCTGTGCAGGCCACTACTTGTCTATATATCTAATAGCCAAGGTGCCCCCTGCGTGCGGATATCTAAATCCGCACATCGGAGGCACCTAGGGGGCAAAGATATTTTCCTGCACATTTGGGGCAATCCCCAGATGTGCAGAAAAATCTAAACAATTGAAAAAAGTATACGGGGGATATTTAAATCCCCCCCAAAAGTACAAGAGCGTTCCCTGCGCATGCTCAAAGAATGCCCCGACAACTGTCCCCCCACCGCCGCCACTGGGGCAGGAGGGGGCAGGAGAAGGCTTGGCGGGCCGGTGCCGCTGGGGGGGAGGGGGAAGGAGAAGCCTTGGCGGGCCGAGCTCAGGCTTCACCACCAGTGCCGGGGGGGGAAGGCTTGGTGGGCCCGGCGGCTGGGAGCCGCGCAGGCCTCGCCGTTGGTGGGGGAGGCGGGGGAGAAGGTTCGCCTGCGGCTGCTTCCTTCTCCTCCATGTGGAGCTCCCCACCCGGCAAGTATCGTGGGTCCCCCATCTTGTTATCTCTATTTACTGAGAAAGGGGGAAAGTGGGAGGAACAGGGGGAAGGAAGCTCGCCAGAGGTGAATTTGAGGTGAGATTTGAAAGTACATCCTATATTATGGCTTCCTAATGAAAAGAGGCATTACCTTGTCCCAGTGACAGGTCAAATCTTGCACGTGAAGGAGGGCGGTTTCATCTTCGGTTCTGAGTTGGGGGCTAAGCTCAGAAATCTCGTCAAGGATCAAAAAGTTCTGGGGTCAAGGGGAAACGCAAAGACTTTCTTTAGCATAAAACAGAAAGGCAAAAAGTAAATCAATCCAAAACGCTGCTTCACCTCAAAAAAATTTCCCCTTGAGTAGCAGCCGACTTACGGCGACCTCATAGGGTTTTCAAGGCAAGAGGCAAACAGAGGTGGTTTGCCATTGCCTGCCTCAGTGTAGCTACCCTGGACTTCCTTGGTGGTTTCCAGTCCAAATACTGACCAGGATCTGAGGAGATGGGACTCACCTGTGCTATCCAAGTCAGTTAGCTCAAACTAACTAAAAAAATTTTTAAATCCCCCCCATCGCTGCTACAACCAGTGTTCCCTCTAAGCTGAGTTAGTGTGAGCTAGCTCACAGTTTTTTAGCCTCTGGCTCACACATTTTTGTCTTCGCTCAGGAAGGATGGCTCCAGAACAAACTAATTTATGCAGTAGCCGAATCTCTCACTCACAACTTTAATGTCTGTAGCTCACAAAGTAGAATTTTTGCTCACAAGACTCCACAACTTAAAGGGAACATTGGCTACAACCATACTCAAAGATGAACTTCCAGAAGTAACTATACCCAGCAGAGTGCTGAGGGTGCTGACAATTAGAGGCCACAAGAAATAAGGGATCTACTCTTTGGCCCTGATCCAGTACGGTAATATCCAAGTAGCAGCCCCCTCCCCCAACAATCCCACCCCACACAACTTTAACTAAAACAAAAACGGAGGGGAAGAGGTTTCAATTTCCATTTTTAAAAATCCCTTATTTTAACCATGAAAGTCTACAATTTAAAAAACTACAGCTCTAAAATGAATCAGATTTACTCTCCCGAAAGGCCAGGGAAAAAGTTATACTCTCAGACCACCGTGTGTCATACAAAGCACGGGTGCTGCCTCTTTCTAGATTTCCTCACATGATGAACTGTGGTTCAGTCACGGCCTACTAAGGCAGTTTCTGAGGTGAATTCAATGACACATAAAAGCAAGGGGGGGAAACCCAAGAGGCAAAGCAATGGTTTGCCACTAGACCAGTTTACCCCACCCACTAGTCATATTTATCTCTTTGTATCAAAAACCAACACAAGGAATTCCTCTGAGAGGCCGTGCCGTTCTATAAGCAGCAGGATCTATAATTCAGCATAGAGAGGAGCATGGAGAAGAGGTACCACCAGCTTTGAAATGTTGCCCAATGCATAAAGGACAGACGCAGATGACAGGAAAAATACTTCAATAAAGTTAGCAAGTACTCTCTGGAAGTACACTCCCCACAGAATGCAAGCGAAATATTTTTAACTCCATGGTTTTTGAGAACTGAGGCAGTCACGCAAGAGCAAATCAGCAATACAGTCATGAACAGGAACGAAAAGCAAGACAACTTTCTGCGGGAACCTCCTTCCTAGAATTACATTTCAGATCCTCCCTTCTTCCAAAGAGTCCATGCTTTCAGTCAGAATGTCCCCTGAGAGAAGTTGTGTTTTCCTCTCAACCCAGTTATCTGGAAAGACGGGGATTCACTTATCATGTGCTGATTTGGGGGGGGGGGTAAGTGTCAGCAAGAAGATATGTGCCACTGGAGCATGTCCTAGGTCCAAATAAAGACACGAACGACAGTGTGATGTAGTGATTAGAGTATCGGACTGGGAACTGACAGACCCAGGTTCGAATTCACACTCAGTCATGAAGCTCACTGGATGACCTTGGACCCAATCACATTCTCTCAGTCTAATCTCCACACAGGGCAAAACGGCAGAGAGAGGAAAGCTTCTTGGTGAAAGAGAATGAAGGAGGAGTAGTTTTTACACCCTGTTATTCTCTGCACTCTCAAAGTGGCTTACAGTTGCCTTCCCTTCCTCTCCTCACACCTTGTGAGGTAGGCGAGGCTGAGAGAGTTCTGAGAAAACTGGTCCAAGGTCACCCAGCAGTCTTCATGTGGAGGAGGAGTGAGGGATCCAACCCGGTTTTCCAGGTTAGAGTCCACTGCTCTTTATGCTGAGAAGACTAAAAACAGGTAGGGAAATCACCTTACACTCAAATGGCAGGTACTGAAGAAGTAAGAAACTCCCCAATTCTGGACCTGGCTGGGCCAGGCTCAAAATTAGTGAAACTCACCCCCTACTGCCCCTCCTCTGTGACTTGTCATGGCTGTTCTAGCAAGGCCAGAAACAACGTGTAGGCCTTTGCCCACAAACAGATTTCTCTGCCTTTAATTCTAGTCCTGACACTCAATGTTGTAAACTGACAGGAAGTCTTTACATGTTTGCTTTATTTTTTTAAAAAATAAGAATTTATAGTCCACAAAGGACTAACACGAGTATGTCAGGGGTAAGAGGGGGAAACAATAAAACTTTGTTGCATGCAACTTTTGAGGACTCATTTGCAACACTGCCGTTTAAAAAAACACAAGCACAACATCCAAATTTCATGGCCCGTCATACCTTGATTCGTCGAATGCTGACCATTGCTTCAGATGCCTTCTCAATGGCCGCTGGGAAGAAGAGAGTGACGGTGAGCCTCACCGCACCGTACAGCGACACGGCAACGAAAACCCGACTTGCCGAGATAACGTTGCCAAGTAGTACATAGGTCATGAAGGTCATAAACACAGTTATTTTGCTGGCAACAAAGAAAGAGGCCAAGTTCAATCCCCGAAGGTAAGAACTCTTAAGAACCATGGAAATCTCCCTCCTGGAATTGAAAAGAAAAAGAGTACCATTTGAAACAATTTAATGTTTACTATAAACACCTAAACTTGCATCCAGTTGTAAAAGTCCCTGAAAAACACGAGGATTCTAAAGCACACCATGATGAATAGAGAAGGTAGATGGGACGGATCTCCCATCTTCTCCTGCAGATTCAAAAATAAGTTCCAGGATGACAGAAGACTTAAAGAAGAAAAGTTGGTTTCTGTACCCCACTTTTCTCTACCTTCAGGAGTCTCAAAGAGGCTTTCAATCCCCTTCCCTTCCTCTCCGCACAACAGGCACCTCGTGAAGCAAGTGGGTCTGAGAGAGTTCCGTGAGAACTGTGACTGGCCCAAGGCCACCCAGCAGGCTTCATACGGAGGAGTGGGGAATCAAACGTGGTTATCCAGATTATAGTCCACCGCTCTACACCCCTGCAACATGCTGGCTCTCATAGCCTCTTAGGGCCTCTTACGGCAAAATCAACATGCTGCATTATTTTGTATTCTTTTCAGTTTTCAAAATGGTGATAAATCTAGTTCTTTTTATGTGGCAATCGTGATTTTGCTAACATGCTACTTAAGCAGAGCTACCACCACTGCATAAGTAGAAGAAAACAGGCAACGCAGACTTAATTCAGATAAAATATCAGAAAGTTGCTCTACACTCTCAAGAAAAATGTTCTCAGATTCTTTTTTGGAGTCAAAGAAAAATGTCACTACTATCTTATATTCCAACACATACACACACTGTTTCAAAAACCTTTCAAAAACTGGCAAGACTATGTATGCATCCCTGTCCGTGGGACGCTGATTACCTTCTCAGGGTGTTCACGAGATCAGCAAACGATTTCTCCCAGGCATACATCTTGATGATCCTCATCCCAGTTATGACCTCATTCATGGTCCTGATCCTCACGTCTGTGAAGGATGCGGTCCTGCTCCTGTAACGTAAATCAAAAAGTTACAGCCTAAATAATATGCAACTATTTTTTTAAAAAAAACTCTAGGATATGTGCATGGCCCTCTTAATGGATAAGGTGCCCACCAGCAATTACAGGTAATTCAGTCAGAAAGGAATAGATGTCATGCTACCACTGAATATAGCTTATCTACTGAAGCCAACTAAATATGTACACACAAAAAAAGCAGCTCAGGTGTTTGGGGTGGGATTTAACTAGGCATAGCACTGCATTTAGTGTCAACCTTTTCTGGCCCTGCTAGAGGACCTCCTGATGGCACCTGGGTTGTGGCCACTGTGTGACACAGAGTGTTGGACTGGACGGGCCACTGGCCTGATCCAACATGGCCTCTCTTGTGTTCTTAACATCAGTGGAAAGCTCAATTATGTAGTGAAAGACCAGTGAAATATCACAGGGGGGAAGGGAGGCTTGGGTGAACAGTGGGTCCCAGAGAAGGAACCTCCAGGAATATTTGCCCAGCAGCAGCACACTATAACATTCTGCTCTGCTCCCAGGGCCTGCTCTCTGCCCAGATGACAAAAGCAAGGCCCTGAAGTCCCACCAGTGTTGCGGAGGCTGGAGATGTGGGAGGAGATGAGGCTCAGACTCATCATGGCCTACTGGACCCATGATGCGACCAGCCAGGTCAGGGGCAACCCCGAAGTACTAGCAGCACATCCAGTCAAGTAAATCCTTGCCCATAACCTCCCTTGCTTCTCATTCAACATTTTCATTGGTAGATGCGTGTTTTTTTCAGCAGATGGAACAAGAATGTTGCCTACCCGTTGCTGCTCCTAACCTTTTCCATTCCAGTTTTTCCTCTCGCAACATTATCCTGATGCCTTCGGCCACCACCATCCCAAAGACCCTGTTGGCAGAACCAGCACCAAGGGTCTGGCATGATCCGATTCCTGCCCAGATTCCACCAGGAATGGGGCAGGCATGTGAGCACTAACAGATATTTTATTTAGATATTTATACCCTGCTTTTTCCCTCAACGGGGACTCAAAGCTGCTTACAACACTGTTCCCCCCTTCTCCGTTCCATCCACAGAACCACTGCCCTGTGACGCAGATTGGGCTGAGAGGGAGGGACCGGTCCAAGGTCACTCAGCAAGCTTCCACGCTGAGGCAGGGATCTGAGCCTGGGTCTCCCAGATGCTAGTTCAACATTCTAACAACTACACCACGCCATCAAGGAGAGCAACAGCCTAGGCTGGACCTACTCTGTACTGCCACTGAGGCGAAGGCAAGGCAAATGAGCATCAGTTGCTCTTCTTCCATTGCTCTCACACACTCTCCCTCCGATAAGAGACCACGACAAGGAAGAAGAACTGCACTGGCATAGCCAGCAGTGAAGGCGGTGGGGTAGGTAACCCCAACAAGGAAGGCGGACCAATGAGGAAGTTTTACCCAAGTGGTTTCCCCCTGCCTCAACCTCTGACTTGCTTGCTTACATCAATACAAGAGCAGGTGTGATATAGTGGTTAAGAGTGGCGGACTCTAATTTGGAGAACCGGATTTGATTCCCCACTCCTCCACATGAAGCCTGCTGGGTGAACTTGGACCAGTCACAGTTCTCTCAGAACTCTCAGCCCCACCTACCTTACAAGGTGACTGCTGTGCAGAGAGGAAAGTGATTGTAAGTGGCTTTGAGAATCCTTAAGGTAGTGAAAAGCGGGGTATAAAAACCTACTCCTCTTCTTCAATATTCCCATGATTCTCCTTCCCAGCCTTACTCCCCTATACCACTGATACTCACAACCACCACCATCCTCAGGCAACTTCACCACTCTTTATCTTCTCTCTGACCCAATTAGAGGTGTGCATTCAGTATTTAGCAAGCCGAATAAAAACCCAGATAAGGCCTTTTCGGCATTTTTCAGGTACTTATTAAGCTGAATACCAAAGTAGTTACCAAATAGTGGTTACCAAATAGATTCCCGAATACTATTCGGCTTTATTTGGCTATTAGTCAGCTCCATTATACCCTATTGGGCCATTATAGTCAATGGCAAATCTCATAGGGTATATTCAGTGGTCTGGGGGAAGAGGGTTTGAGGCAGAGGCACCAAATTTGCAGTGTAGCTGCTGGAGCCTCTCCCCAAAAGGATATCCAAATTTCAAAAAGATTGGTCCAGGGGGTTTAATTATATGAGCCCCTAAAGAGGCACCACCTATCCCCCATTGTTTCCAATGAGGGAAAATAGCAAGGCAATACAAGCCCAGCAGTATGTCCCAGAGAACCTCTGCAGTAGGAAGGGATGGGGGGGGGGGGCATGTTTGCATGGCCAGCAGCAGAACCAGTGCAATGTGACCAGCAGAACCAGTGCCACTGTGGCAGTGCCAAAACCCAAATGTATCTTTTCAAAACCACTCCCAAATGTTGACATTCCAACTTTACTAAGCAATTTTGCTCAGAGCATGCTTTTTCAACACACACATGCCAACAGGGGGGAAATGTATGTAGGAATATCTTCCACAGCCTGCCTTGCTCAAAATTTCAAAACCAAACATCATGGTCTTTTTTTAAAAAGTGTTTTTTAAAAAAGCAATCTACGTAATCTTAAATTTTCCCTCTCAAACGCTCCAGGCTTTGGTGCTCTTGTATTTTTGAACCTTTATGACAAGGCATACGCCCAAGACACATAGATAATGAAACACAAAATTTGCAGCTTTCATCTAAGTTTTCAAGTTTTCAGAATGCTTAAATTCCCAAATTGCCAACAGGAAACCCACTGACCTCAGAGATGAGAACAGCCTCCCAAAGCAGGTCTGCAGAGGAAGCAGAATAATGAGAACTGCCATCCCAGCAAGGCAAGACGGGCCGATCTCAAGCCAAAGAAGGACTGTTACTGCAACTGCCTGCAGTGGTGCGGCCCATAAGAAATGCAAGAAAATGGTCACCTATGAAAACAGAAAGCAGCCCGTGAAATACGCAAACTGAGTGAGAAGACTGACAGCAGCTGACATGTTCTGGTAATCTCAAGCTGATTCACTGACAAGTAGTGATTAGGGGTGTGCACTCTGTATACACCGAGCCAAATAAATACCCCCAAAATACCTTATCAGTACTATTCAGATCAGAAATCTGTATTCTGCTACCGAAATAGCTGCGCCTGAATAAAAGCTGATATTATTTGGCTTTTATTTGGGCACGGCTAGAAGGGATTTAAAGAGTCTACTCAAATGTGGACTCATTCCTCCGTTCTATTTAACTCAGCTGCACCTACTTTAGTCTACTCCACTTATTGCTATGTATTCTCCATTTGCCCTGACCTGGATAACACAGGCTAGCCCATTCTTGTCAGGTCTCAGAAGCTAAGCAGTTGGCTCTGGGTAGCATTTGGACGGTAGACCTCTAAGGACGTCCAGAGTCGCAATGCAGAGGCAAGCAATGGCAAACCACCTCTGAAGATCTCTTGCCTTGAAAACCCTACACTCAGGGTTGCCATAAGTCGGTTGCGACTTGACGGCACTTTCCGTCACCATCCTCCATTTACTGTTTTAACAGTATTTGATGAGTTTTGGAGCACACAAGGCCTTTCAAAACTCAGCAGAACGTCTGACAACCACTGAGCCATATTTAGAACAGTATGCATATGAGTGCTACCAATAAATTATTCCTCTTCGACACAATTCTGACCACACCTGTTTGGAACTCACAGATCTGTGGTTCACCCAAGAAAGTGTTCTCAAGTTTGCTTAGAAACATTTCTATGTCCAACTTGGCACATCTACAGAAGGACACAACTGCTTCAATCCATCTCTTGGCGAAGCAGCAACCAAGAAAATAAGCCCATCTTCCTGTCCTGTTACAAGTGAGCTCGAACTAGTCATTTGCTATCAATAATGGTTCGTACCTGATCAAACTTGTTCACATCATTCGATAAGAGGTTCACAATTTGACCGGTTGTCGTTTTTGTCATAGCTGTATTACTCAGACGAAGTGCCTACAAAAGAGAGACACAACACTCCTAGGTTTTATAACTAGAGTTATGGTATTAGGGCCACTTGTTTGGGTATTATCTTTTCTGATGCCACAAGGCACTATGAACCCACAATGGGCTATGTGACAACATTACTGAGTGCAGCCAATTGAAAATGAAGACAGCACTTCTAACATCAATCATGTGGATAACCACAGCCTATCAGATTACTGATTGCCCTCAGTCAACATGGCTGAACACTTCAGTCCCTTTTCAACACAACCCCCCCCCAAACGCCACAACCCAAAACTCAGAAAGAATACTTTTCAACCATGCCAAAAACTCTTTATAAGAAATACCACTGGCCTTTTCAGCTCCCCCCTAAAAGAAGAACTCTATACACAGGTCCTAATTCCAAAGAAGTTTCTCTAAGCTTTAGCAGAAAACTAATATGACATGTAAGGGAAACTGAGGATTTTGGAACATATATTCAAACACGGCAGTCTTGGCTGGCTGTGAAAAGGTAGCGAGATGTGGAAATAGAATCCCCACAATGTTTGTTATGCCAGTCTGTGGAATTGCACTGTCATAACTGTTATTACTTCCTCGTCTAAGCACTTGTTTGCAGGCACTGTATACATGGACCACAACATTTCTGCACAACAAAGAAGAATCTTTCATAAAAATTGAGGACTCCTGACATTACTGAAGCATTTCTGGTGAATGTGTTTTAGCCAAAGCTGAGGACTAGACATAAGATCATTTTTTTTCTTCCTTCATCTCTAGTATGACCGTGCACTTTGTGATTTTTGGAACGGAAACTATGGGGCACGCCCATGCTTTGGTCCATTGTCTGAGTCCTGGAAGCACAGCAGGGCCTTCAGCTGTTGAACAGCCTGTGTTCAAAGATCCAGGTATTCTTCGCCAGATGTGCACACAGTTCACTCTGCCAGGATCCTGGTCTTGTAAGGTTTTCAATGGGCCATTTCACAGGGGACAACAATCTATTATTGTTTTCCACAAGCACCACTGGTTGGTTTCTATTTTTAATTGTTTGTGCATCTAAAGGGTGGCACAAGAGGTGCAGGAAACCACAACAGATAAAAGGATACAATGCAAACATCTCTGCGTCTTTCCACATTTCCAACCCTGAGTGCAAGCTTTCACTACACAACCAGCAGCATTTATTGTAAAGGGCTACTTTGTTAAACCTTCATCAGATCAAGTTAAGATTCGCTAGAACAGCAAATTAATACCTCCGAGATGTGTTTATGTACGAGGAAGCAATATGTGTGATTACAGCACAGCACCTCCGGGATCATTTCCCAGGTATCCAAAGAGGGAGCAAGAAAAACAAATTCTGCTCTCCCAAGATGACCCAAGATGCTGCTGACTTCATCTTCTGCCCACACTTGGCGCTCCGTAAGCCTGATCCAAACAGCTGCGGAATGAGCTCCGCAGGCCCCAGGGGTATCTACGGCCGCAATCCCCAAACACGCAGTAAATCTCACTGGACTCAGTGAGGCTGACTGTAGAGTAAACACGCACAGGATTGTGCTGCAAAACTGCGCCTTGACTGAAACCACCTCCAGTGAGGTTAGACAGGGTAACCCCCCTAAAGATTAGGGAAAATTTCAGATGCTTCAAGAACCAAGGAAGTATCCTCTCTCAGAGAGGATTGCTAACAATGGGAAGGTGCTCTGCTTCGGGGATCCTAACGGGGCCGAAACCCAGAAACTTTGGGGGGGTGGAGAAAACACACTTATACTTGCTACAACCCTTTTTGTCCCCCAAAAAGACAAGTTCCAGATCTTCAGCAATACTCACCTCTCTTGGAGTGCTATCTTGTTTTTAACTGTTTTAAGCATGGCCTTGAGCCCTAATTGTTAGCCGCCCTGAGCCTGAGGGGAGGGCGGGATATAAATCGAATAATAAATAAATAAAATTAACACATGTCAGTTCTTCCTGCTGGATATTCTCAGATACATCAAAAGTGTGTGGAAACACTTCCCTGTGCTTAAAAGTGGAGGGGCGATATCCCAAAAAGGGATGAGGCGTGTGCTCTTTCAAAGAGCCCTATCGCAGCAAGTCTTCCAATGATATTATATACACTGAAATCAATATACATAGAGGACGAGCAGTCCACAAAAGCACTCGCCCCACCTATGTGCAGCGACCAGCTTGTAAGAAGAGCATTTACATCCATACAGAGCATTTTTTAGAGGCCATAATGTTGTGAAAATAACAATGGGTATGCCCTCAGGCTCCATCCCCAGGACCAAGAATTCTGCTTTAAAAACAAAAAAACTCCAGTTGCTAGGACAGAGTCAACATGTGTACACACTGTACTCATGGGCCCAGCATTTAAGGGTCAGGATCTAAAGAGGACCTACCTGCTGGGTCACAAGACTCTATAGAAATGGAGGGGATTTTTGCTCCTTTTTGGAGGGAGTGGCTGCTACAGCACATGCAGAGAAAGTAAGGGCACATTGTTTTCAAATGAGAAGGGAGCACTCACTGGAGAAGACCCTAATGCTGGGAAAGATGGAAGGCAAAAGAAGAAGGGGACAGCAAAGGATGAGATGGTTAGACAGTGTTGTCGATGCATGAAATTAAGCAAACTCCGGAGCATGACAGAAGACAGGAGGGCCTGGCGTGATGTGGTCCATGGGGTCGTGATGAGTCGGACTCGACTCTGCAACTGAACAACAACAACACACACCAAGAGGAGCAATGGGATAGTAAGGTGAGGTCACTTAGCAGTGGAGAAGATTCCTCCATGGCTCTGACTCTACATTACACTTCATGTTGCTTGGCTTGTGATTCCTGCCTAGCTCACCTGGTCTGCTTACCGTGGCCTCGTGCCATAACACTGGCTTCCCCCTCTTCCTGTCATGTGACTCTGACTTCATGTGACTTCCTGTCATGTGCCTGGAGCTCAGTGGGATGCATCCTCAGTGGGGGATGTTCCACTTTCTCTGAGATATATACATGTAAGCTGGGATGGGGTGATTAATAAATCTAATAAATAATAATAAAATAAACAAATGCTGACACCCCCCCTCACTTGTTGTTTCTTGGAATTCATCCTTACTAGCTTCATGAGGGACCCACGCAGACTATCAGACACATCCTGAGTGTAATCCAAAGATACTTTTCACTGAACGGCCACACCCTTTACGAAGCGTTTCTGATGCCAAGCTAACATTTTGAGTGTTTGCTTTACAGACAAAGGCGCCAGAGAGGAGAGCCAACATAAAGCGCCCCGTTTATTCACAAAGAAAATATGTGTTGCTTACCTTCCGATAAATCATATGGCACATAGCCACTCTCAGCTTCATGCCGGCACGTTGTACGTGATAAAAATACAAGTGATGAGTTATGGCCAGAACCAAAGTACACGCAGACAAGGCCGCAGCGGAGGCATAAGCGTATTTCAGAGCAGCAGATGAACCAGTCTTTTCAAAATAGGTAATAATATTCCCCAGAAATATTGGCTGGATTATTTTGAGTGTTTCCTAAAGAGAAAACGTTACAAATAAAACTTCTGCAGAAAAACGTTACAAATAAAGAGAAAACGTTACAAATAAAACTATCTTTCATCAAAAGCTGAACTATTTACCTCAGACTCAGGAGAAAGATATTCTCTCCTGCCGGCATTCACATTCAGTTTAGCCAGAAAACATTAGGTCTCCATCTGGTACAGCCTATGTAATTATAATATATATCTGCAATAACCTTTAATACATTATCATCCCTATATCAACACCCTATGCCCAGTTCTGTCATTGGTGTGTTTCTGGTGCAGTGGCCAAGATGCAAGATGTCTCAAGTTCCAATAAACCATGCACTGTATCCTCTCAACAACCCCGTACAGTAAGAGGGGGGTATTATTCTCCCCACAATTCAGATGAAGCTGTGAGAAAATGGCTTGCTTGGGTTCAGCTCTCCTCATTGCCATACTTCAACTGTTACATCACTAAGTGATGTGAGCAATCTCTACCAGAGACCCTGGAGAGATGCTGCCAGTCTGAGTAGACAATACTGACCTTGATGGACCCAGGGTCCGATTCAGTACAGGGCAGCTTCATGTGTCAAGTAGCACTACACTCTCTCCACACCTCTAAAAAAAAACCACCCCCAAATCTGACCATACGCCAGGTATCCACACCCCACCCCAAAAGCACTACACTCTCTCCACACCTCTAAAAAAACACCCCCAAATCTGACCATACGCCAGGAATCCACACCCCACCCCAAAAGCAGAAGGCATTCTTCTAATTAAGCAGCAAGGTTGTAAGGTATGAGCTACGAAGGAAGTACATTACACAACAAAAACAAACCTTCGAGTGTTCTGTGGGAACACAGCAGGAGCTACTGCATCAACACTGTAGCCCTTTTCGATTGTTAGGCATGGAGCTGTCCAACCACACATACCAGGAGAACACACTACTCAGTATCCTCCTGTACGTGGTCGCCATTTTGTCTGAATGCATACATGCAGGGCTCCATTCAGACAAAATGGCGATCAAACATGTCAGGAGCATCACTGGTACCACCTGCTCCTGAATCCTGTAGTTCGACACCCTCACATTTAGTAACTGAAAAGGTCTTCTTATCTAGCAAAGACACAAATGACCATAAATGGGACAATCACAGCAGTGCGCTGTGAGGTCCTCCACCCTCATGGCAGAAAGAATGCCTAGGTCAAGAATCCAAGCAGAAGACAATTCAGCCAATCCAAGATCTTCACCACAATCACAGCAGTGCGCTGTGAGGTCCTCCTACCCCCATGGCAGAAATAATGCCTAGATCTAGAATCCAAGCAGAAGACAATTCAGCCAAGCCAAGATCTTTACTTCCCTGCTGGGAAGTCAAACCAGAATCCCATAAAAACAGCCCCATTCATGGCTACCAGCCAAGGTGAATGAAGGGAACTTCCATACACGGAGTCAGCAAACGTCACTGGTAGAGCATCTGTTTGGCATGCAGAAGGTGCCAGATTCAATCCCTGGCATCTCCAGTTAAAAGGACCAGGAAGTAGATGATGCAAAAAACCCTCTGTCTGAGACCCTGACGTTGATGGACCAGGGATCTGATTTTGTGTAAGACATCTTCATGTGTTCAATGCCACTGCTGGGAGGCAGCATCAAGGGAAGGACTTGACCTCCATGCTTGTTCCTTGGCCCTTTACGGAAACTGGTTGTCCACTGTGTTAAACAGGATGCTGGAATTGATGGACCACTGGTCCAATCCAGCAGGGCTCTTCTTATGCATCACAGAGCAAAAATGCACCATTTAATGCTAATAATAGCAGCTGCCCACCCCAAATTTAAGGTCAGAGGTCACAGTGGGAGCCACAAAAGATGTACTGCCCTGGCAGGGGATAAGAGAGGAGGGGAAAAGAGAAACTGGTTGGGTAAACAGTGACTGTGGAGGGGGGGGGCACTCTCTCCTTGAATTCTTGCTGGCAAAGCAGTGATAAGCACGTCTATTTCGGTCTGTTACCTCAATCAGGGTGAAAAGTCCTAGAACCAAGTAAGACTTCCAGTAACAAAGTATAATTGCCTTTGTTAAGTGTGGGGCTCTTGCTTCCTTTTTGGCTTTCTGCACCTCTTTGTCCCAATACCTGCAAGAAGGGGGAAAGAAGAGGAGGCATAACAACGAACCGGGGGTGGGAGAGACAGTCAGGCAGAGCATCCAAACCAAAATACAAATGAACAGCCCACAGATCGATTGCTTTGACTGATCGAATGTACAGGAAAATATATATATATATTTACTGGCAAGGAGAAAAGCCCTCTCTCTGGTTTAAGAAGGCAACAGAAATGCCATTTGTTTGCCCTTTGGAGAAAAAGAAGGCAATTAAGGGCTTAAACTTGAATAAAACAGCAGTATTATGCCACAGTGTTTTGCTTCTGTCCCGTGACAAATATATTTATTCATCTCTCCCTTATATATAATTGAGTAAGACGCAGGGTCACGCAGCGGAGAGAAAATGCACACCAACAGTGTTTGGAGGCCTGTAATATCAATAGGAAAAAATAGGGCACACCAAAGAAAATTACTCTTCTGTATCTTTAACACACTTAGTTGTATTACTACAACAAATTTCCTTATAACAAATTTCCTGTATTAACTAGCATTCATTCATTATATCAGCCCCCTCACTCCACTGGGGCTTTTAAGTTTTTTTTGTTTTGTTTTTTAAATCAACAATCCACACCAATCCCTTGGCCCGAGCCCTCTCCCCAATGGCCACAGGGGCTTTAAGGTTTTTTAAATCAACAATTAAAAATTATCAGTACGTTATAACAACCTGTTCTCTAAATTCCCAGATGTCATTCTTATAAAGTAAGTTTCTAGCCCATTTCACTGCAGAAATATGCCTTTCCCTTTATATCTCCACAATGAAAGATTTACAGTGGCTAGTCTTGCCCCACAATGTGACAGAGATTACAACATCCCCCAGTGGTGGGCAGAGGAAATGGCTGGCACGGGGACAGGATTGGGGAAAATGCCTGCCATGTGAGTGTGCAAATCCAAACTTTACTACCCAAATGGCATCCGGGCTTTACTGTGAACTTTCACAAAACTTCTCATCAAAGCAGGTTTGAGAAAGTTCGGGGGAAAGCTGGGAAAATCCTGGGAATGCACCATGATGGTGTGAAGAAGCAAGGGGGGAAAACATGCACGAATGCACCATGATGGTGTGAAGAAGCAAGGGGGAAAAACATGCACGAAGTAACCTGCATGAAACTGACCTAAGTCTGCCTCACAGCTGTGGCAAGCAATGGCGCTCACAGCAAGCCAGGGCAGAGATGAGACAGTATGACAGGGTTGCACCATGATGCTGTGAAGAAGCAAGGGAGAAAATCATGCACAAATGCACTATGATGGTGTGAAGAAGCAAGGGGAAAAGACTTAAGGCTAGTAACCTGCATGAAACTGACCTAAGTCTGCCTCACAGCTGTGGCAAGCAATGGCGCTCACAGCAAGCCAGGGCAGAGATGAGACAGTATGACAGGGTGTGAGTTTTTTATATGCTAGCTTGTTTCTCCACTGCCTGCCAGAAAAGAACTCTGCTCTGTCTAACAGTTGCTCCTAGACCGGAGATCTGAGAGGAAGAGCACACTGTCCTCTGTCACCAACAAGAGGACTCAGGGCTGTAGGATAGTCGTGTATCTCCATCTCAACAAGGACAACAAAGGAAGAAACTGAGAAAATCTTGCTAGCTTTCCCACAACACCATCTGGACTAAGTTTGCCGTCTCCTAATTTATTTATTTATTTATTTATTCAACTTATTATCTCTTCTGTCTGTAGGTCCTTCGCGTGAGCACAGCCAGAGGTACACGGTCCGAGGTACAGTCTCTTGGAGGCAGGTCCAAGAAAACAAGCAAAAGGACTCCTCCTGGCCTGTGGCATGCAGCCCGGGGCCGCCATTAGCAAGCCTGGTGAATCACAGTGTGGCCAGGAAGCTTGCCTACTTTAAACCTTAGTGTTTAAATTGGCTGTTATTAGTTCGCAATTTCCAATTAGTCCCCTTGGGGAGAAAAGGTGCACAGAAGTGCCCAAACAAATATAAATACTAATACTAATAATAATTTATTAAGTTGGATTTATTAGGCCACCCTTCCCTGCAAACAGGGCTCAGGGCCGCTTACAACAGCAATAAATACAATAAACAGTCAATTTAAAACCCAACATTAAAATACCTAAAGCTGGCAAAGAAATATCAGCCTGGCCCTTACCATACACACTAATGCAGAAATCAGTTAGACCCTTTCCCTTCTTTACTTCTCCCTCTCTCTCCATATCTTCCCTGTGACTCTTGACGGACAGGAGCTGCGTCCAAAAAGTCGAGTGTACAATAAAACACACTGGGAATCACTGGACGTGGGGAAGGATGGCTTCGCAGCGACACCATTACTGTAGCTATACTTATGGAATGCAATCAGATCGAGAGGCCCGGTCCTTATATCTTTGATCACGGATCATGCCATCCTGTACACAGTTACTCCAAGCCCACTTATTTCAACGGGCTCAGACTAGAGTTAACTCTGCACAGGATCTCTCCGGAAGGCACAGAAAGTCGATCTTCAGCTACTCACCATTGTAACCCTTCCCCAAGCACCTTCGAGGAATCTTCGGGCAGCACTTTATACATGTCATCTTCGTCTAGTCTCCGCTTATGGCCAAGAACGAACAAAGGATTCAGCCACCTGTTCAAACAGCAGAACCACATGTCAGTCATTCTCTTATATGCACTCCGGGGTCCTCGGTGCCCATGCACAACCACCCACCCAGATAACAGAAAGCAGCCTAACATTTTGGCTTTACACTTCAGTCAAAAAATACTGCATATACTGCAATGTTATGTACCATCTCCCGTCTCACAGTGCCAGCTCCGCAAACTGGCCCACAGAATACAATAACATTCCAACGATGAAAGGAACAGAAGCTACATGAGAGACTTTACTTGCAAGCCAGACTTGAGCATGAGAAACACTGCAAAGAGCCTCTCCAGATCGCTAGCGGATTTTGCAGAAAGCCAAGCCTAGAAGAGATTCGGGTGCTGCCGAATCCCAACGTGAGACCTTTTGCCAAGGTGCAACGGCCTCGTTTAAACGCCCAAGCAGCAAGTCAATGGGAGAGTCTTGGGCTTTATCGTCCCCTCGCTGCACTTCCTCACTTTTGTATTTTCGTTCGTGGCAATTGGAGCAGGAGCAGACCATGCAACAAGTCAAGCCACACATCTGTCCTCCTCATCCCCCCACTGTTAATGCGGGACGCAATACCAGCTAGCACAGTTTCGGCCATGATACATTTCTGTAACCTTCCGCAACTGTTCAACAACTAATGTTCCATCTTCTTCTGCTCTTGAATGATATAAGCGCTCTCCCTAATCAGCCTTTGACTTCACCTGAAGTATGCATCATTTGACTTTGCAGCTGGTGGTGCCGTTAGGAACATAAGCTGGGACATCTCTGGATCAAAGCCAAATTCAGTTGTGTTTGTAACTAGGTGGCCTTTGAGAGACCGCCATTCTTTCAGCCTCAGTTCTCCCATATGCTTATTGGGATGAGACTGACCAGTCTTACAGGCTTGCCATAAAAATTACTGAGAAACTGTACGAGAAGCACCCTGAATACTCAAAAAGCGATATAAAAAAATCATCCTCTTATGTTTTTACCGGATTCATCGCCACTTTGTTCCTCCACATAACTAAGATCCCAGCTTATAACCAGTAAGGTTCCATTTTTTTCCTTTTTACCCTTTTGGTTTGTTTTGTTTTTTAATTTAAAGTTTTTTATTGAAGTTTAGTAAGGTATACAATCATAGTATAATCATATTAAAAAAACTTCACTTTTTTGTAAAGATACAACAATGTAATATGCATAAGTATAATGAAACAGTAAACTATAACTTGATTTTTAAGCTTGAACAGGAAAAAATCCAATGTCCAGCGTTCCATAGTAGAAAAGAGATTTGAATGTCATGCTTTCAACAGAAGGGGCTTTGATTGTCCCACTGGGAGGACAAACAATCCCTTACACTGGTGTTTTTAGATTCAGGTGGGTAGCCGTGTTGATCTGAAGTCCAGCGGCACCTTTAAGACCAACAAAGTTTTTACTCAAGGTGTGTGCTGTCGTGTGCATGCACACTTCTTCAGATTGTGTCTGAAGAAGGGTGCGGGCACACAAAAGCTTATACCCTGGATAAAACTTTGGTCTTAAAGGTGCCACTGGACTCAGACTTTGTTCTACCGGTATTTCTAGTCACTGGCACATGTGTTCCTTTCTGCACGCCCATCTGTTGCAAGGCAAGGGCAAGCCAAGCGGATGGGTACTACTGCTCACGTCACAGAAATTGTTCCCAGTTCTTCAAGAAGCTTTGTGTTGTAAAGCCTCTCTGATTCACTGCCCTTTGGACTTTCAATTACCTTGCACGCTCTGCCCACCAATGAAGTCTCTCGCCATTTATTAATTAGTGACACTTTAATGCTTGTTCCTACTGAAATCTGAGAAAAACGACGGCTCTGAGCTCTCAGTCCCCAACAGGGCCAGCCATTTCCACTAGGCCTAAGGTCCCCAAGCCTTTCTGAATCTGTGGGCCCCTTAGGAATTTTGAGAGGGCACCGTCAGTAGCAGTGTTCCCTCTACGCTGAGTTAGTGTGAGCTACCTCACGGTTTTTTTAGCCTCCGGCTCAAACGTTTTCGTCTCAGCTCAGGAAGGACGGCTCCGAAGGAAACTAATTTATGGAGTAGGCAAATCGCTCGCTCGCAACTTTAATGCCAGGAGCTCACGAAGGAGAATTTTTGCTCACAAGACTCCACCGCTTAGAGAAGAGATTGGATTTATACCCCGCCCTTCACTTGGAGTCTCAGAGCGGCTCACAAACTCCTCTCCCTTCCCCTCCCCACAACAGATACCCTGTGAGGTGGGTAGGGCTGAGAGAACTCTGACACAAACTGCTCTTTTTCCAGGACAGCTGTGCCAGAGCTTGTGACTGACCCAAGGTCACATCAGCAGGTGCAAGTGGAGGAGTGGGGAATCAAACCGTTCTCCCAGATTAGAGTCCGCACACTTAACCACTACACCAAACTGGCTCTAGAGGGAGCATTGGTCAGTAGCACTCCAAAACGGCTGCCCCAGGAGGCAAAGAACTGCAGGAGGGGAATTAAAAACAAAAGGAAGCCTGCAGGCGGAGGGAGAAAGAGAAGGGGGAATAAAAAGAAAAGGGGCCATGGGAGGGAAAAGAGACCGTAAAAAGGCCTGCCTTACAGAGGCTCTGACCACTTTCTGGAAAGCTTGGTTGGCATCATGGTGCCCAGGAGAACGATGTTGGAGAACCCTGCACTGGGCTATTGCCTGGAGTAGCACTTTCCTAGTGGCATGGAGGAACAAATCTTCCCACTGCAGCACTGCCAAGAGCAGGTACTGAGCACAGGAAGGTCAGACGTTTCTCTCAAATGTCTTAAAATCAGCTCCTCTTCCTAACATGCTCACGTTTTGGGGGCTCTCTAACCAGGTACAACAAACAGTTTGGTGACTGGACTGTATACTGTAAAGATGTTGTTTCATTCCACCATGGTTGATGAATTTCTATGAATCTAATCCAAGTAGGGTGGTCCCCTTCCTGCTTTCAGGTCAAAATCCTAATACAACTTTGAACAACTGCCACAGGAAGTGGTGGCGGCTACAAGTATGGACGGCTTCAAAAGGGAATTGGATAAGCATATGGAGCAGAGGTCCATCAGTGGCTATTAGCCACAAGGTATAGATAGGGACTCTGGGGCAAGTGATGCTCTGTCATCTTGGTGCTTGGGGGGGGGGTCAACAGTGGGAGGGCTTCTAATGTCCTGGCCCCACTGGTGGACCTCCTGATGGCACCTGGTATTTCTGGCCACTGTGTGATACAGAGTGTTGGGCTGGATGGGCCTTTGGCCTGATCCAACATTGGCATCTCTTATGTTCTTATGAATGTTGCAATTTATTTATTTTACTCCTTTTGTCTTTTGGGGAAATAGAGACGATGAATGAAATTTCAGATTATTACACTGCTCAAGGCCACGCAGCTTTTACGGGACAATGGAAAGGAGCTAACGGAGTCCCTTTGAGATCTGACCAGATACATCCCTTATAGTCGTTACGTACAAGAAGTCTTGGTGCTACCTTCTGAACGAGCTGAAGCTTCACTGCGCATCACTGTAATATAACCTGGAGGGGACGTAAGTCCAACGCAAGCACTCCGGGCCATAAGCTGTGCAAGATAACAACTGGAAGGAAGCTGAACGGTGGCTGCAATCCTAAGCAATCTTAGTAGAACCGTGTCGCAATGGATCTCCTGAGGCCTCCTCCTAATGCAGCAAACGTGTTCAGAATTCACTTGTAGGTCCAGGAATATTTCGAAACATTGAGTTTCTAGACCAGACCTGTGCGATATGCAGCCCACCAAGCCCGCGGCAGTCCATTAGCTTCCTAGGTGTGCCCGACGCGTAACATTTACTAAAAAAAAAATATTTACTAAAATGTTTATACCTCGCCTTTCCTCTTGGCATACAAGATTGGTGGACTGTGTTCACCTTGGTGGGTCAACAAGTCGTGTGTGGCTATTGTAGACAAAACTGGAATGTTCTTATTCCTTAGTTCTCAAAAAGTGCCCGAAACAACTCATGATAACCAATCGTCCTAAAGCAATGTTGTGGCTACTGCCCAAACTCCTAAGTAACCACTACAAAAAGTCAAAGAGCTCTTTCAAATCGATCGCTCGATGATCCTTTTTCCCAGTAAAGCTCGCAAAACTATCAATGGGGCTGCAAAAGCATACAAGTAGGATTTGATTCTTGTAGACCTCACGCCGTTGACAACTGAAACACAAGACACTAAAGGAAGCAGAAAAACCAGGTGTGCAGCCATGAGGTTTGTGTTGCCTGAACGCCTTGATGCTCATCCAGACTTGAAATAGATTTTCCGATGTTGTGAATCCCTTGAGCTGGTCCAAACAATTCAGAAGAGAAACTGCAGAAATGCCAGGCTGTTTACACCTTATACGGACTATCAGGACTTCCAGCTATAAACATGGCAACTCTACAGCAACATCTGCTTAGTTGTTTGGAAACAGTGTACGATTAATTAGAGAGGCGCACACAGTAAAATGTTAGCCTCAGCGGTCTTCAGCCTTTCCAGACACGGGAGTCACCTTTAACACACACACCCCAGTCAGCAGCAGGGGACTCACAGAACCACGAGCATATGACAGAAAGCCATGTGACACGAGTCACATGAGCAGAAGCAGAACCAAAGTTATAACCCTCCATATCCAGAGGCAGTAAACCTTTGAATGCCAGTGGCAGGATGCAACATTAGGGGAAGGTTTGGTGTCCAGGCCCTGCTTCTAGACCATTTTGGGAGCATCTGGTTGGCCACTGTGTGAAAAAAGAAAATGGACAAGATGGACCACTGATCTGCCCCAGTGTTCTCATGACCAAGTGCTCTCATGCCCTCGCCAAGGTCAAGACCAGGACCTCAGACAGACCAAGAGAACTGAGCAGCACCTTTGCTTTCTGGCTGTCACAGCTGCACTCACATTTTCTTAAAACTCAGTAACCAATGCACAGACCACCTCCTTTGGGTAAAGCTCCAAGATCTATATTGATAAACATTAATATTGGAGTGGAATTGTACCAACACAAACTATTATCAGTATATGTATTTATTA